TATCTCAGGATCACAGTAGTGATGAACCAAAGAGGTGTAATTGGATCACCAAGAAAAGTGGTAAGATCATTAGGAAATCTCCTAAATCAATAGTTTAACAATATACTATCTACACAGGCTAATAGAGAAGCAGTCTGATTAAACTAAATCAAATTTCGTTATATGGATTAAATGGATCCATATATATAAGTTGTTGCACACAAGTTAATATATCCTTCTGTGTCTTTGTAGATGAAGTCTACGTAACGTTTCATGATCAGCAATGGGGAGTTCCCGTCTATGATGATAAGTATGATTAGCTCTAATAATTTTATGAGAAATTTCGTATATATACAAATAAATGTCAACTGTTTTGTTATACTATATGCTTATAAATCACTTTCAATTTTGTAAAAATAAAATTAGTTTTGCATGGTGATACAGCCTGCTTTTCGAGTTTCTTGCCATGTCGGGAATGCTAATGGACTACAATTGGACCGAGATTCTAAAACGCAAAGAACTCTTTAGGTAAAATCTCTCACCAATATTCATAATTTGCTATATATTATAGATATGTAAGTCATCATTTAAAGGAGTGTTTTTTTTTTTTTTACAATTTGTGAAACTAGAGAGGCATTTTGTGAGTTTGACCCAAATCTGGTGGCCAAAATGGGAGAGAAAGAGATCACAGAGATTGCATCAAACAAAGCAATAATGTTACAAGAGAGTAGAGTCAGGTGTATAGTTGACAATGCCAAATGCATAATCAAGGTAAGTTTCAACTTTTTTCCAATTTCACAAAAATACCCCATAATTTCTTGTATATTCTTACATTATATATACCTTTATTTTCTATTATCACAAATAGATTCAAAGAAAACTATAATTTACAGGTAGTCAAGGAATTTGGATCATTCAGCAGCTTCGTGTGGGGGTTTATGGATTACAAACCGATCATTAACAAATTCAAGTATTCAAGAAATGTACCATTGAGATCTCCCAAGGCTGAGATAATTAGCAAAGATATGATCAAAAGAGGGTTTCGATTCGTCGGTCCAGTGATTGTACATTCGTTCATGCAAGCTGCAGGGTTAACTATTGATCATCTCATTGATTGCTTTAGACATGAGGATTGTGTGAGTCTCGCTGAGAGGCCATGGAGACATATATGATAATTTGGAGAGATTCTAATCGAGTTTTCGGTTCAGTTTCGGTTTTAACATATATCTGAGCTTTTCAATTTTTCGGTTTATAAAAAATATATTTGAAATGGAATTTCTTTTTCTTCCGATTTAAGTATTGGTTTTTGATCCTTTTTGTTTTAAACATGCAAAGATTGCTTTAAGATCAAACTTTGTTTGGATTCAGATTGATAAGTCTTCGGTTTTGTAAGGATTGACTTTTATAAGAAAATGTATTCGAACAAATTTGTCTTTAAATTTGATTAGGCTTTAATCGATCTTTCATTTTTAATTCGGTTTGGTTTGGACTATAGTTTGTTTAGATGTTAAAAAAAAAAAACAAATGTTGAAGTCATTATTTCTTTTTTACTATTTTGGTTGGATATATAAGTGAATTTACAAGTTTTTATCAAACCCGGAGAACTTCAAATCTATACCAATCTCCAAAAGTTTCAACAACCATTTGAATCTTACGATGAAATGATTAACAAAAAATGTCTTTAGTGGAAATCAATCAACAAAATATAACATATCAAGATTTTAAAATGCTTATGTAATTAAAACATGGGGCAATTATAAAAATGTCACTTTTTMTMTMRWTWTTTGCAAGAATGCCATTTAGGGGTATTTATTTACAAAAATACCACTAATTATAGATTTATAAAGCCTATATCATAAAATTCTAAATCCTAAAAAATATTTTGACACCTAAAACCCCTTAAACACTCAAAACTAAACCATAATAGAACATAATTAACCCAAACATAAATAATATAAAGAAAATATAATTTTTTTTAAAAATTTCAAAAATATGACATTTTTGTAAAATAATATTTAAAAAATGGCATTTTTTGAAATTTCTCTTAAAACATTGACAACAAGACAAGTAATGGTCACTGGTGTGGCACCGATGAATTGTGTCCATTAAATGATAAATTTTATCACAAACAACATCATATTATTCGCACCAAACAATGAACAAGTTGCCATAAAAATCCACAAAAGCAACGAAAAAAAGCATCAAGCAGCCATATTTTATAATAACAGTAATTGATATCATATTTTTATTTTATAATTGATACGTCAAATTTTCATATAAATAAAAAAGGAAATTAGCAAATATAACCAAAAAAAAAA